TTTTTTTTTTTTTAAAAAAAAAAAAATAAAAAAAAGTAAAAAATTTTGTTTTTTTTTTTAACCCCCCCCCCCCCACACACACACACACATACCCCCATCCCCTTTAATTAATTATTAACTTTTTAAAGCTTCAAAAAGTACTTGAATTAATCTGATGGCTTGGACAGCAGATCAGGAAATTTTAATGAATGATTTTTATTGCTTGTTTACACTGAGATTTTGAATAGCCCCCATTGAATGTTTTTTTAATTATTTTTATTGAATTCCCTTTGAATCATGGCCACTAGATGATTCAAGCTAGTAGCGTTCATAAGATTCATGCGTGGTGCAAAATTTCTGAGTTTGTGGGCAAAATCATATGTGCAGTTGCTTCTTTCTGAGAGAGACAATGGTGACACTGGTCCATACTGGGAGAAATCGGGTGGGACAACGAGAGTTAAAGATTGCAGATCTTCCATTACTTGAAACACCGGGTTGTTTTCTCAATGAGTTAGACGTTTACATTCCTATGAGAGAACTGATCTAAAATTACACAACTCAATTAAGATACTGTAAATAAAGACAGCTTGTACATGAGTCCATCTGGGGTCTTACAGCTGCTTACACATCCATCCACGGACCTCACATCTATCTGGACATCAAAGGAAAACGTCAGTCAGGACCTGATTTCCCAGAATTGTGTGCTTTTGTGAGGTTCATAAGCGGATTATTTTGTCCCCTCTCATTTCGGGCTTAATTCTGACTAAGGTTTCAATAAAATTCAAGTGTTGGGAAACTCCCTCTGTGGGATCTGAACCCTCAGCCTCCCATCCACCATAGACTATATCATGAACTTCTATTTACAGCTGAGTATGGAGTTTGTATTCTTTTTGTTATATATGGGTTTGTTTTTTTTCCTCTTTTGTGAAGGCTAGACAAAGTCTTATTCCTCTGAGCAGCTCCTGAAGCAACAAGTCAGTTAATAATGTTTAAAAGGACATATTTTAGCCCAAAACTATTGCGCATGCTGGATCAGTACTGACCTTAATGAGTTGTGGGTGCGACATGGACCGTTAAGCTTATAGGCAATATTAGTAGTTGGGCAGGGCTGAGTTAGTGATGTGCAGTATAGACTGTGATGTGCAGCGTAGATTGTGATGTGCAGTTTAGACTGTGATGTGCAGCATAGACTGTATGCACGGGGCTGCTTGAACAGATGCAATGCACAGGGGCAGGACTACCACACAAGCTTAAGGTCAGGCAGTTTGTAAGACGATCCTCTACAGAGTCTGAATACACATCCTCAGTACAGGGGGCATGCCCCCCCCCCCCACACACACACACACACACACACTCTCACTCACTCACGCACTCATAGTCTGACTCGCTCACATTCCTCTCCCGGCTCTGTGTGGGGAAGGCACAGAGTCTGCTTGGAGCCCGGTGCTGCAACATTAGAGTCCCTCTCAGAGACACACCGGAGACCTTGAGGACCCGGCAGTAGGCCAATGCACACTGGTACACCATACACGCACATTTAGCTCCACATTGCTACACGCTAGTACACAGTACAGTCTGCATGCCAGTGTGTTGCCTACTGCTGAACAGGCTACAGGAAAACCTCAGCAAAATATTCAGGTTCTATCAGGTTAGAGCAGGTCACCACCGATGTAGCGATGATCCCCAGCCTCTTCATGACGCTCTCCGTGGTCTACAACTATCAGCTGGACTTGCGCCTCCATGTCACCCAGCAGGATGGACAGTAGATGCCCTGGACTGCCACCCTTCCTTACCACGCTTTGATTCCACCCTGAAGGCTTCAATACATCCGGAGGAAGTTCTCAAAGCCAGGAACGAGAAAGTTCTGCTGGACAGAGGAACCAAGGAGGACCTTGTTTGAATCTGCCCCCCCTCTCAGTTGCCACAATGCTGTGGGACAAGTTTGCCTGTCCTCTTCTGTCATTGGCCACCCTGCTGGCAGCCGGGGGATGCAATGTGGTGGAGCAGCGACGTAGCACGGATTCTAGTGCCAGCGATGTTGGCGGCGGCCCCGGAGACACCAGCCGGAAGGTCAGCCGCATCCAGCACGGCCAGTGCACTTACACCTTCATACTACCAGAGAACGATGCAGGTGTTGCCTGTCAGGACGGCCAAGCTGGGGGCCAGTACAACACCAATGCCCTGCAGAGGGATGCGCCGCTGCTGGAGCAAGAATTCTCTAGCCAGAAGATCCAGCAGCTGGAGCACGTCATGGAGAACTACACACAGTGGCTTCAGAAGGTAGGTGAAGCATGTTGGTACTCGATTCGCGCAACCAATGGCAGGAAGCTTCCAGAAGCTTCCAGGGTATTCCATACTGAAAATGAAAGCGCTTGTCTTTGTTTGGGCTTCCAGTTTTTGCTCCTAGAAGCATGACCGCAGGGATTCAGTTGTGTTGCCCAATTGGGGTGTTATGAATATTATTTTGTTCTATAAATATTATAGACCTGGAAGCCCAAGAATGTAAGATCTTTGGGCGACACAGTCGTGCTGTTTCCGAGCAAAATATCATGAAACTATGGATCAAATTTTGAAAAAGTTAAAGATGGTTGTGACAGTACAGTACTTTCTAAATGTATAAAAGGTCTAGCAGGCTCAGTGAGTTTCAAATATCAAGAAGTAAATTACATTGTCAGCAGTTTTCCATAACTTTTCGGAATAAGTATGGCGAAGTGTTTGGCACAGATCTATTCCTCTTCATAACTGGCCAATAAAATGTCAGTCAGGCAGATTCTCGTGGTGCTTTCCTTTAATAATTGGAAATTAAAAAGGTTTGTGAGAAATGTACAAGTGATCGGTCAAGGGTTAGCCCAAGATATGCTCAAAATGAAGACATTCTACAACAAATCATTTTCACACTGTGCTTTCTGTACAGCCACTGTCGAACAAAAACTATTGAATCATGAATATCCATGCTGACAAGGTACATATCAATCATTTTCAATCTTTAATTAAAATCTTTTTCGTATTGTTTTGTATCATTGGCACAAAGCAATTAGCAAGGAATATTTTACGATAGATTGTGAATATGTTTAACACTAAACATTAAAATGACATATTTGTACATAATCCAACTACTTTAAATTATAAGCATAAAGATTCTAAATAATTACATATACAGAATGACTGATGACCCATGGAGTTTTGCTTAAATAACTGTAAAAAAGTGTCATCACTTTAACCTGTGAGCTGCTTTGCACTGAACAGCTGATATCAGTCTCCTTCGAGGAATCGTAGTTTTAAACATACATTTGTGTATGTGTTGGTTCCTTTGGTGTAAATACACCATGGTTTGGTTTCTTTAAGACTTACATAGTATGGTAAATGATATTCAAAAATCCATTTTTTAATTTTAGTTTTCTGTCGAAGGATGGTTAAACGTTACACAATAAATGATTATATTTAAATATTTCACAATAAATTAAGATGGAGAAGAGAATAATTGATAGGCTTCACTGTTGATCTGTAGCATTTTAAGTTTTTCTATATCTATATCAGGCAAAAAAAGATTGAACATTGATTAGTTGAATGAATCTATAAAAATGAGCAGGACAGTCCCGGCATGCTCCCTGATCAAAGCTAACATGCTCTATTCTGTGGCGATCGGGCACGTGTGCTGGGCCTTCTGGCTTAAAGTGCTCAGAGTGACCTCTGTGACATCAGGGGCTTGCTGTACACCTCATGGCCACACATGGGGGGCGAACTGGCCAGCAGTGACAGAGGCACTAATGACACGGCCTGTGAAATTCCTCACAGCAAAGAAAAAACGAAGGCTGATAACATTCCGACTCAATCAAAGCCGGCTTCTGTTTTTGGAGTGATTACCCACCCCCAGCACAAACCCCCCCATGCAGCTAGGCACGTAGGAGGGGCCGTCTGACAAGATCAGCTCAGATAATTCATTACCACTTTAGGAAATACATCACTGAGTCACAAACCTCTCACTCCAACAAGTTTTCTTAACACTTAAAATAGGCATATTAAGGGCCTTCTGAAGGATGGTTTCATGAATTTTGGATGAATTTTGATTCAGTCATAGTTGTTGGATATATTTATATATATGTGTGTGTGTGTGTGTATAATTATTACATGTGATATACATGTTGGGGACATTTATCATGTATGCATGTATATAAAGCAGTATATATTATATTTACTGTCAGAAAATAAAACTCTAATATATGACATTTTGGGAATATATATTCATTCAGCAGAAGCTGTATGCAATTATTGTAATTATCCTTTGAGAAGCGAATGGATGCATGATTTCAGCTAAAAGGTTCAAGGTTCATTTATCCAAAGGTGTTCATTACGTACAAAATGTGGATGCTTTCATTTGTCATAGGTTAAATGTTCCATTCCCTCCTGTATGGAAACAGACCCATCTCTTGTGGTATTCCGTGAGAGATTTAGTTTCTGCCAGCGAGATTCATGATTATCTTTACGTTTGATTGCTTGGCTAACAGTTAAAACCATTTGTGGGTTGGATCTTGCATATTGTTCCGAAAATCTGACCATTACAATTCTGGAAGTTCTCAGTTACTGGACCTGATGCTGAGGTGACTGATTGGGAATCATTTTTCATTTCTATCCATGGCTGCTTTGTGGGCTGTGGTACAGAGGTTACAGTAGTGTTGTGATGAGAGAGATCCCGTAAAGGAGATATTATTCTAAAAATACATCATACTTGGAAACATACAGATTCGTTTGGAAAGAACCTGATGTCTACTCAAACATGCACGTCTGCATGCATGCATTTTATGCTGCAGATCGTATTGCTCTTGGTGCCGAATAAACTTGAGGTTCTTGTTTTTCTCTAAGCCGAACCGCAATCCCTGCTTTAAGTGATATTGAAAGGACACACAGTGAGCACAGTAGGCTATTTTAAGGGCAACTTCCTTTGTACCAAAGTTTATTTTTGCTGACGAAGTGGGCCAAAGCTAACAAATGGACCATGCGGCGCTGATACATGCGCAATTGACTGAAAATCTCTGCTTTCCTGTCTCAAAATTTTATTTTAAAAAAGGGAGATCATGATATTCAGTATTAGGCACAAAAATGTGAACATTCCATGTCTGGTAGCATAAATGCCATCATTTGTAACTTAAACTATGAAGTGCAGAGGGTGGCAAATCGGTATTTTAGACTTGGGTGGTGCTAATGAAGACGCTGGCCAGTCATCGCTGGCACCTTCACCCTGGATAATGCAGTAGGTCCATTGCTCAGTCTGTCCGGTGGTGTTATTTTATCAGGTCTGCGGAACATGAACCGCCCTGCGGTCGTGATGTTTAACAAACGCCTTTGCTGCTCTACACCGTGGCTTGGGAGCCCAAATGAATGGGGCGGCTCCTTTTTAAATCATCTGGGTTTTTCCAGTATCCTTGTAAAAGCAATATCTGGCATGTTCTCTCTTTAATTAATGACCTTTGCTTTTGCCATCCTTGCAGGATTTATTTGTTTTTAATTGCAATTACAGTTTGTATTTTGTTAAGTGCATTTGGCGTATATTCTGACCAGGGCAGCTCATGGCCCTGGGTGCCCTGTAATCTGTGCTGAATGAATTGAGCACTTCCTGTAATAAATTTAAGTTTCCACGTGCCCTAAAGCATATCCATTCTTTTAATTGTTTTTGGTTAACACTGCAGATTGTGTAATTTAATACTGCGAGTATATAACCCTGACAGAATACTTACTTACTCCATATTTACTAATGGAATAAGTGATGGCAGTTTGAATTCCCATTGCCATGTAGATTTAACCCAAGGGCAATGTCGACTCTCTCTGTTCCCTGTCACCAAAAATTAAGAGCTGCTGTCAGCATAAATGGCCTTTCTTTACATCACCGTTAAGATGGACATGCTTTTTTTTTAGCTACCTTTTCGTACATCTCCAGATAGTCTTTCCCAAACACTGTCACAGTGGCCTCCTACGCCGACCAGAACAAATCCTCCACCACCCCCACGTCCTGAGGAACATCTATCAGCTTTAATGTTCTTCTGTTCTTCACTATTCATCTGTGGTGTCATGATCCTTTAGTTAGTGAGCATGTTGCCAAAGACCTTGGTCAGGTAAAAAAACAAGCTTCAGTAAGATTCATGCTCATTGTTGGTGGGGTGGAGGGTGGGGGGGAATTCTGTTGGGGGTTTTAGTTTGGTGTATTTTTTTCTTTCTGTTAGGTTTTGGGCTACAGCTATCATTCAGTTTAAGTTCAGACATTCAGGCATCTTTTAAATAAACTTACTAAATCACACTGGGTTCCTCATAATGTTGTATTAATAAAAATATGCATTTGATTATTTTATTTGGATTTTTGCAGTGTTTTTTTTGAGCAGCGCGACAGGGTGAGTTATTTAATCACGCAGATAAGACTGATGAGCCATAGCTAAGAAAAAATCTAACGAATTAGATGGTCCACATTTTTATTGCTGTTTGAAAATAACATTATTCAGGCTGAAGTCAACAAGTTGTCAGCTTTCAAATGCAGAAAATGAACAGAAAAAAGTTAAATGTGGTTCCCTGCGTTTGGAATAGGCTCCGGATCCTCATAACCCTGCATAGGTATGGAAAACGGATGGATGGAAGTTTAATATGTCACTGAATATACAAGAGACTAGATAATAGATTCCAGATTCTTCTACATAACTAGATTCCAATGCCTTTTCAGTGTTTTTTTTTTTAACAAAACAAAAGGAGGATCAAGCTTCCCATTTTAGCTTGGTCAGGTTTACATTTTCACAGGACAAACAGCTTTTTTAGGATGCAGGAATTTGGTTAATTAGCATTTTTATTTTGAGGCATACTGTACATCAGTTTGAGAATAAAGCAAAAGAAGATATTAAGTGTAATAAATATGCATTGAAGTTGTTTACGTTCAACAGACTTGTATTCCGTGTGATCAAAACATTGTTATACAGTATAATATTTTAAATACAATATTATATGAATGTCATTTGTCATCAAGTTTTTGGAAACATTTTTATTTATTGATATTGATTATCATGCATGTGTGACATTTTGGTGTAAAATTATTTGTCATCGAAGACCATTTACTAAACATTTCCATTTAATGACATTATTGTATTTTTAAGGATTTGTTTCACTCCCACATTAGTCTCGTTAAAATTTCTATCATAAAAATTGTTTCTTGAAGACTGATTCATGGTTGTTTATAGACTGATTCATGCAGCCCAGAAACTCTGTCAACATTGTCAAACTCCATGGGTAACAAGCGTCTCCTTCCT